ATTTGCAGGTAGATCATTTCTCTTCAGTACCAACGGCTGATAGGATGGGAAGGGCATGACAAAACTGGTAGTCAAAAGGAAAGAGAAGACTGAGAAATGCAGCCAGCATGTCCCCAGCAGCATCTCAGCCTTCTGGCAGCAACTTTACATACAACAGAGGTAGGCAGCCAATTGTATGTCACCTTTCTTCCACCGGAGGCTGAGCTGTTCCCTCAGGAAAGCCGCAGTTCACAGTGGCCTCTAGTGTTCCTAGGCCTGACTTGCTCAGGGTTTGGCTGAGCTGAATTGTCATCTCAGTGGCAGCTCTGCTGAGAATGAGTGTCGTTCATTCTGGTCAGCATGCGTAACTCATGATCAATCTCACACCTCTGGATCCTCAGTGAACTTTGGTACATTTGCACTGACTCACAGGCTATTTCCGAAGGCCTGGATATTCCATATGTCAACTGAAAAATTACAGAATAGCAAGTTAAATATGGCCCTCTTTTGCATCAAGAAATGGGAAAATAATTCATAGACACTAATGAAAATGTCTGGTTGTTCATATAGATGCATAGTATGACTCTCTTTTCTGACGAGACCAATGGGAATTAAGAAGCTGAATAAGGCTATACTACCCAGATTGTCACTCTTGGTGCTAGAATTCATTGTACCAGTCAGGGCAACATACTTATTACCATAGACCAGGCACTGAGCAAGTAACCCTGTTGTATTTCTTAAAGAGAGGCAATCACTGTAGATAAAACTTGTGAAACTTGCTAGAATACTTTTGTTGTGGTTTCTGTCTGGATGTGTCCCCCCAGAGCCTCATGCATCATGGGGTGGGCTTCTAGAGTTTATGATTGATCCATGATCCAATGTTGGAATTGTGGGTGTGAGTGCTACACCTGCCCTGGGGCAGATAGTTTGATACACTGTAAGGGAGGGAAAGAGGCTGCCTGCTGCCACTCCTCTCTTTTGTTCTTTTGCCTTTACTGTTTTCTGCCGCTGTGAACTTTTGTCCTCTGCCACGTGCCACTCTGCCTTGGAGCAGCCAAGTGTGGATCTCCACAAACTGTGAGCTAAATAAACCTTTCCTTCCTTAATTTTGTGCATTGGGTATTTCGTCTCAGCAAAGGAAAGAAAAGTAACTATGACAAGTTTGTCCCAAGGTGAGGAAGCTCACATTGCTTGAGGTGTTTTCCTAATCTGTTGCTGTAAGAAGACACTACATTCAACTTTTATCCCCTCTCAGCACTTTTCTCTTAATAGGCTTTTAGGCTGATGAGCCGCACCGGTTTGATAACTTTGCTGCATTCTGTGGGGCAGACAAATGCCGCTCAGCTGGTAGTATGGACAGAAAAGACAGGATGGACTAATGGACAGCATGCAATCCACCCCTCCCTAGAAAAGAATTCAAGATATTTTCAAACTGAACTGGAAATGCTACGGCTCAGCAGCCAGCTGGGAAACCACATTGGAAGCCTGGGTTTGCATGAAACTGATACAGGTACCTCTTGGGGTATTTTAGCAGGTGTCAACAGTAGTTTCTTTCCTGAAGAAATATGCTCCCTAACCCCTGGCCTCCCAGGAAAGGCAATTCTCCTGTGAAATGAAGCATTTCTTACCTTTGCCTGAAAACACGATGCCGCACACACTTGAGATGGCCATAAGAGAGTCCTCAAGCCGTCTCAAAGGTCTCTGCAAAATGAGGCTTTCCTTAGCTTATCTAAAGAGCTTCCCTGAGGGGTAACTGACATGACATTCATGTGTAATCTGCAGAAAACTATCTGTACTCTGAGAGTCTTCTGATTAGCAATATTGGTATAAGTTGGTCCCTGCCTCTAGCCAAAGTGATCAATGATGCCAACTTGCCCCTGGAAGATAATCAGATCAGTTTCAGCTGACTGGACAGGGTTGTTTTACTGTGGAATTGCCCAGTATTTTCTGCTTGTAGGCCAATGCAGTTGTACGAATGCTCACATCTCCTGCTGGAATGAATTAATGGCTTGAGCCATGTAAAAAGGTTAGTATAGAAACTGATAGCTTATGGGATGAGTTTAACTGGTTAGGAGCATGATCCCAAAGGTCACCACTCAGATCACTACTTCTGTTTGGAGTCCTGCTGATAACAGCCTCAATTAAATTCTGTGTAACACAAATTAAAAGGATGGGTTACAGCCACTGTCAATCAGATTAAACAAGGTGGCTGTTGGAGTTGTGGACCTGTGGAAAATTCATCAGAAGCTAGAATGGTGTTGAAATGAAGAGGCAGATATTATTGGGAGGTATGTTTTCCCAGGGTCTTATTTCTGTACATCTTATGAGTAGAACACTAATTTCTCTTTGTCTAGAAAACAGCCATGGCAGGGATAGTTTATCCCTCTAGAGCAAAGGACAGGCACATGTACTGTTTAACAGGCAAACGTACTTATTGCCCACTCTAAAATATTAGGGTTGTCATGGCTTACAGCTCCTCCCCTGCAGCGCAACCCACTCACATGCAAGTGTCGTTTGGCCCTCCTTGTGCTGCTGTCTGGAAGTTGTCACTCAGGAAACCAGAAGAAAAAGACGATTATACCTAGCTACAGCTATTGTTTTGAAACAAACTGTGGTTTATCTCTGATGAGTAATCCCATGCCATCTATCTTCATCCATGAAACTGTGTTAGGCTAATTTGTTAGCTTCTATGCAGGGTAGAACCTCAAACCATTTACAGTTCTTGACACTATGTTCCAGCAAATTCAAATGTTAGGCTTTTTACAAAACATTTTATTAGTGTATGTTTATAATGCATAATAAACATATTCATTATGGGGAATCAGTAATATACTTATTGCATTTTGATCTGCTTTACTTAGCCTAACAAATATGTTAGGTTTATCCCTATATTTGGAAAGAACCGGTTTTATATGGTAAAATGCAATCTAAGTGGGGTGGGTAAGAAAAAATAATGATAAAACAGAGTGGTTCACAAAGGCCACATCACGTTAACATTCTGAGCAGATTTTTGTAAGTGACCTTACATAGCAGAATATATAGTGTCCCAGAATATATAGTGTCGCCATAACATCAGCCCACATTAATTCTCTGCAGAGCACCAGTTGAATATATGTTTTTGTTTCTTTAGTTTTCTGAATATTACCTGTTTCTCACATGGAAATGTGAGAGCAGACATAGTTCTACATAACTGCAAGGTTTTAAAACACCACTTGGTGCAATATATAGGTGTTCAACAGATAGTGATGAGTGGTCACTCCCTCACAAATAAATTTTCTGGTTTCCTGAACCATAAATCCGGTCTGGGAAATAGACATTGAACCCTTGAAGTTCCATACTCTCTTGTTCATATGTAGCCTTATCTTGGAAACACAAGTGAGTGCTTAATTTCTCCCTTAGTACATCAGTTTTCACACTGGGAAAGAGGAGAGGATAAAGGTTGGCCACAGAGTTGATGGGACTGAACCAAGAAAAGCTTCAGCAAGAGGCATAGTAAGGCAGGAATCTATCCTGTCATGAAGATAAAAAGTCATTGTAAGCAGGACACCGATGAGAGGTAGTAAATCTTTTAAAAAGGTGTTAGGAAGAATTTAAATGCATTTAAAAAATTTTTTACTTTCAATTTTTTTCTGTATAAGGAAATGGTTTTGTATTTTAGTATTAACAATACTGCAGCATTTCAGAAAAGTAGACTAGGCCTGGTAGAATTCTAACAGAGCTGGCAGAGGAACAGTATTACTCAGAATAGTGCCCTCCCTGGTTCTGTTGTCCAAACAGCAATTGGATTAAATGATCGCTACTTTGTGTACAGCTAATACGAATGTCAGCTGCACAGGCAGACCTGTGTGTGTAGGTTAGCATATTGTCTTGGAGGCTGAGGTAGGAGGATCATAAGTTTGAGCCTGGCCTGAGCAAATTAATGAGTTAGTGAGGACCTGTGTCTCAAAAGGGCTGGAGACATAGCCTGCTCTGAAGGCCCTGGGTTCAATCCTCTGTACTGGAACCCTACCCCCAGCCCAAATCCTATAGCACATTGAAAAAAACAACTGAAAGGTAATTTCTATTATTATTTTTGTGCATGAATGGTAGCACCACTACTGTTAACTATTATATAAATAATACATTTTAAAGGTGCACGATGATGGTGTATGCAGGTGTATGTTCACATACATGTGTCACCACAACTAATGAGCTGAGAAGGCCTTGGTTATCCAGGTTGCACGCTATCTTTGCTTTTTTTCTGTTTTTAAAAAAATTATTACATTAGCACCAATACTGGCAAACAGGCAAAGAACATAGCAGACACATTGACAAAGGTGATTCAGCTGGTAATTCTTATATTTGTTGGAGAAATGTGAATTTTTCTTTAAGAAAAAAGAAAGTTTATTATTTTCCACTCCCACTCTGCCCTCACTCTGCCCTCAAGCATCCAACTTTCTCCAGGCCTGCACCAGTGCAGTCTATTTTCAGCAGGATCATCAGAATGCTGCTTTGAAAATGCAAATTTGATTAGGCCACGCCTTCCTTAAAACTCTGGCTTATTGAGGGGCTGATATCACTTCTTAGCAGGTTTTCAGGACCCTGGATTATGTGACCCCTTTCTCTTCTTACCCATGGTGTCTCAGCCAAAATGAACTAATTTTATACCCCGAGCTATATACCTTGACTCCTCTGAAGATCAGCATTCTGCCAGTTCTTTCATTTTTGTGTTTTGTATAGTGAATTTCTATGATTCTTTTAGTATCACAAGGCATTTTGCCAGCACCTCTGCCTTTCTTGTGGGTGGGAGACCTCATGTACTCACAGAGAATGACATCCTTTTCCAGGTCATTCTAAAGGTTGTTGGGAGAAGGGCCTGTGGTCTGTCTTGTTCCTTATTGTAGCCCAAAGGCATTTCATAGAGCTAGCCTTAATGTAAATATTCAGAATATTTTCTCTGAATACATTTTTGCTTACTGTAAGAGATTTAAAATTAATTGTATTTCACTTACGTATGTGTTCATATGCAAAAAACAGAGACATACAGTTGACGCAATTTTTATTTTGTTTATTTTTGTCAGGATGATTGAAATGTTCATAATGCTTTCAAGTCATAATATTTCATGGCTTCGTTATGTTAACGGCCTTAATTACGCGTCTATATGAGATCTTCTGTCAAACTTGTGAGGTGTCTCTTAAGACTGGTTGATAAATCAAATGAACCTATGATTAAAAGACAAACACCATGTTACCAACGTGGACTGGGTTTAGACCTGAAACACTACTCTTGAAAATGCTGTGTTCTACTATTTCTTTGTGCAGGCATACGAGGCTCGGCTGCCTTTGCTTGTGCAGTGACATAGGACACCAGCTCCGTTTCACAGGAACACTGGGAACAGCCAGTGTGAAGCAATCACTTCTTCCTCGGAGCCGGTGACATGAGCAACCTCAGCAGCACCCAGGTTATAAGTAACACAGAAAACAAAACAGTTTTGCCTAACACTTTGGGAAAACCTGGATGATGTGATTTCTTCATCGTTTGGAATGATGACTCCAGTTGTTTCCTTGAAATGGCAGGAGCTTTTAAAAGAGCATATGTGAGGCTAAGCCTGAGAGTAGAATTTCCCGGCAGAGAAGTAAGGGGAGGCATAGTTTGCCAAAGCCATCTGCTTAATTTTCCTAATAATCTAACACCCGCCAGTGAGGCTCCCTCCTGTATTCCCAAATGGCTGAGAATTATTGAAACACCAGTAATAACTTCTCTTTGGCCCCTCACCCTCCTTACTAGGAGAATGGCTTTCCAACTTACCTATTTCCTCTTAAGCGATGGTGTTGCTGTATCTCAGCGACATCACTGCTGTCAGTAAGTCCTGTTTTCTGAGAGCCTACAGCAGTCTTGGCACTGTTTGAAATAAGAGACTGGTTAAATACTAGCCCTCTTCGAGAGAAACCCTTCACTTAATAGCACTCATCATGGATGTTCTATTAGTTCCCAGGTAGTCAGTTTGGATAAAGACCTTATTTCCTTTAGTTTTCCATTTTCTTTTAACAACTTAAAACATACCTCTTAAATAAGTACTTACTTCCTCCACAAGAATAAAAAACACTTACAGTCTCATGTAAACATTACTATAATTTAGATTCCTGGCCAGGGTCTAAACATGTCTTTTAACTGAGAATTTTCTCCCAAATATTGTTGGCTGGTTTTCTGAAGTCCTGAGTCATGGTCTGTTTTAAGCAAGAGAGAGGGCAGAAGACACAGGAAAGAGTTCAGGAAGTCTGAAACATGCTTTTGAAAGAATAATATCTCTTGAAGAACAATATCTTGCCTATTATAACTGTAGAACTCCTTTCATTTCTCCAAATGGTAAAGTGGGACATTTCTTAAATATTACGGATTGTGCCTCTAAGTTCAACCTGGACACATTAACTTTTTTAAAATCAAGAAAAAATGATGTGAACTATTTTTTACTTTAAATTGAATAAATTCTTCAAAGTTAATATTAAAAAATTTGTTTCTGACATCAAAACATTAAAATTGAACACACTGTTGGGGTACCATGTAATAAATATTATAGATACACTGCACAGTGTTTTAATGATGCTGAACATATTTGTTTGCATAAACATTTATCATTTCTTTAGGATGAAAAATTTCAAAACACTTTTTGCTAGTTTTTCTAAATACACAATATATTTTTGTTATCTGTTGTGGGACCTGTGCTCTTAATATTAACTCTGGGAAGCAGGGTACAAAGAGGAACGAGCAGTCTAGCTCTAGATATATTACAGTCAGATTGACTTTTAGTTGTGTGTTAAGATCCAATATAAAAATCAGCTCATAGGAGGTGAAAGCATCAAATTCTAATTTTGGGGAATATCTATCACAGTAAAAGGAAGAAACTAGTTATACTTAAAAAATATACAACCGTGACTGGTATCGATCTCATGATTCTATGAAGCATTTTCATAGGCATCATAGAATCCTCCAAATGTATTTTCTTGATGTTTTATATCACTGCAGGAAATATAATCAATAACTATATAATCTGTTTAAGGACTTCACATGGACCAAACCATTATCTATTTTGGATTTTCATCACATTTGGTATTCCATATCTAGTTTCACTGTCAAGAATTTCCTTTAATCCATCATTAAAACAGTGCATTGATCTCTTAATTATCCTATAATTAATGTGTGATGCTGACTATAAAACTAATTGTTAAGAATTACTTTTGAAACCATATTGAAAAAAATCTGTATAAAATGTAGTTTCCAAAATATTTTTCTGAAAGACTAGTTGCTAGCATAATTTTAGCCCTATTAAAATTATAAATTAACTTATAGAAGGACAAAATGAAAACATAGCTACATAAGCTACATATGTATCTAAAATATCTGGGGAATTCCAAAGTTTTAAATCTTGAAATGCAGTATGGTGGGGTGGATGTATTAAAAAACAAAAGAAATATGAAAGTCATAAGAAAATAGCAAACAATATTCTTTGTGGTGAGAATATTTAAAATTTGTTTTTAAGCGAATTTTTGAAATCTACAATGCATTATAATTAGGTGTAGTCACTAAGTTGTGGAATAGATAACAAGAACTTACTCCTCCATACCAAAACTTTTAACCTTTGACTATAATCTCTCCTTTTCCCATTCATTTTCTCTCTCCCTGTATTAGTCTGCTTTTCTGTTGCTGGACACAGTACCTGACAACTACATCGTAAAGGAGCGGTTTAGTTTGGGCCATAGTTTCAGAGGGTTCTGTCCATGGCTGACAGGCTCCAAGGCAGAAAGCTGCTGAACCCATGGCCAGCCAGGAAGCAGAGAGAAAAAGTAGAAGGCTAGGCAAGAATACACCTTCCCTGGCCACTCTGCCAGTGACCTACTCCAACCAGGTCCCACCTCCTAGGAGCACATTCATTCAGCCATGAACTCATTAATGGATTAATCCACTGATGAGTACAGTGTCCCTATGATCCAGTTTCCTTCCAAAAGCCTTACCTCTGAGTGCCTGAGACTTTGGGGGGACATTTTAGATCTAAACCATAACACTGCTATTTAGTTTCTGGTAACCCCCATTTTACTCTGCTAGTGTGATTTCAGCATGTAAATCACGTGGCATTTGTCTTTCCGTGCATAGCTCATTTTGCGTAGCATAATACTTTCTCAATTCATTCATGTTGTGGCAAATGACAGAATTTCATATGCGAGTGCAGACATTTCTTCAACATATTTACGTCAGTTGCTTTGGCTATGTCCCCGGAAGTGGGATTTCTAGATCATATGCTAATTCTGTTTTTAGGTCTTTGAAACCCTTCCACTGTTTTCTAACAATCACTGTACTGACTTACATTCGCAGTAAAGTGTATACGAGGATTTCGTTTTCTCCACATGCTTACTAATACATCTCTTCTCTTTTTAATAACAACCAGTCTAACAGGTATGAGGTGATATCTCATTGTGATTTTATTTGCATTTCCTTGAATTGGTGATTTTTTTATATACCTGTTGGCCTTCTGCGTGCCTTCTTTTGAGAAATTTTGCTTCAGATCCTTTGCCTGTTTTTAATAGGGTTCTTTATTTCTTGTTCTGGAGTAATTTGAGTTATTTACATATCTTGGACAATAACCTCTTTCCTGATGTAAGATTTACAGATATTTTCTCCCTACCCATGTGTTGTTCCTGAACTCTGCTGTTTTCTTTACTTTCTTTGTGGAAGCTTTTTACTTTGATGCAGTCCTATTTGTCTACTTTTGCTTTTGCTGTTTGTACTCTTGGAATCCTATCCAAGAAATCACTGCCCAGACCTATGTTATAGAGCTTTCTCCGTTCTTCTTATCCTTGTCTTATTCATGAATGAATTCTTAATGAAGGGCTAGATCAGGTCCCAGTTTCATTCCTTTGTATGTAGATAGGCAGTTTTCCTAGTGCTATTTATTAAACAGGCTGTTTTCCCCCACTGTGGATTCTTGGCACATTCACTGAAAATCAATTGCTCATAGTATGGGTGTATTTTCTGCCTATCTCCTTTTCTACTAGTTGATGTGTTTGTCTTGATGTCAGTACCATGTTATTTAATAACTTTACAATGTATTTTTCAATCATGTAGTGAGATATTTTTAGCTTTGTTCTTTTTGCTCAAGGCACAAAGGATCTTCTGTGGCTTCATACACAGATATCTATATCTAGATATATATCTAGATAAGATCCTACCTTTTTATCACAAAAGGTCATTTTATATATATATATAATATATATATATTATATATATATATTCTTCTATACAGAGGATCTTTTGTGGTTCCACACAAATTTCAAAGGTTTTATTCCTCTGTATCTGTGAAAAACAATATTGGAATTTTGATAGAGGTAGCACTGACCCTTTACAACACTTTGGGCAGTATGCACATTTTAGTATTAATTCTTCCAGTCTATCAGCACAAGGTATCTATTTACTTGTCTTCATTTTCTTTCCTAAGTGTTTAATAACTCTCCATGTATAAATCTGTTACTTCCTTGGTTAAATTTACTAATAAATATTTTACTTTGGGG